ACCCAAACCAAGCGCCCAGGAAGATGCACCGATGAGCTCCGCGAACCCCCCGACGGGCAGGCGGCAGGTCCCTGTCACGAACTGCAACAGCCGGATCCTCTTCTCGTTGTCCATCTCTTTCACCACCTGCAACAAGAACGCGGCAGGAGAATGGGGTCCCCGTCACCCCCAAACCCCCAGCCTGGCCGTGCCTGGGGCACCATCCTGCAGCACGTTCCTGCCATGAACACCCCATACCCTCTGGCCAACCGGGTTCGGATACAGCCCAGTGTGGTGCAGCACATGGTCCAGCCCTCGCCTACAGGCCCGCATCCTGGGGGATAAGTGCATCCCGAGGGGTTTTTGGGGAGCAGCTGTGCCCAGCCTTGCCCTCCTTCAGAGCCAGTTTTGAGCCCCTTCTCCCCTGGCCAGAACAGAGCAGCACCGCCTGAACTGGCACAGCGCTAGGACATGTCACCCTGTCCTGTCATCCTGCCCAGGAGCATGCTGACCACTAAGTGCTGCCTGCTGTCCCCTGCGGCGGGGCCTCTGCCAGCCCTGCCTGCCCCAGGCCACGGGAGGGGACAATGCCAGGGCTGGGGAGCAGGATGGAGGCACTGCCGGCACCGGAGCTCACCTGCCAGAACCACTGGATCTGTTTGCTGTTCTTGGTGTAGTGTCGGTAGATGGTATTCTTCTGCCAGTCGTTCATGTCGATCTCCTGCATGCCGCACAGCATCAGCTGAGGACACAGGACAGTCAGCAGCGCGGCAGAAGCAGGGCCCTGTACCCCTGCTTCAGGGCACCGACTCCTCCAGTGCCGGGTTTCACAAGTGCAGGCTCCAGCACCAGGCAGCGGAGGTGTCTGGGAGGAATTCCTCGTCTCCAATGAGACGTTTTCTTGCTAACGGGCCCACTGAGCCACCCCGCAGACCTTACCACCTGGCGCGGGGGTACCCCCATCAGCAGAGCCGAGGCGCAGAGGGTGCAAGCAGAGCCCGTGTGCTCTGCCATCACCACGTGCCATTCCCACCGCAGCCTGCCCCGGGGTGGGAAGCACCGGTATTCTCTTCCCCATCCCAGCAAAGGCACCAGCTCACCTCCAGCTCCTTCTCGTCGAAGTACCGCAGCCACTCCAGCGGCACCACCTCGTTGAAGCCGTCCAGGAAAGCCTTGGTCTGCTCCTCCACGCCCCGCGTGAACCTCCAGTCTGTCAGCAGCCTGGGAGGCAGACAGCGGTCGGCAGGCAGGCCCCGCTGCCCCAACACAAGGAACCCCCATCATCCCTCCCACTGGCGGGGAGGGCCTGGGAGCCGCAAGGGTGTGTGGGGAAGGGGAGAGGGGCTCCTGCAAATCACCAGGGCCACCCCTCAATTCCCACCAGTGGGTTTCTCTCTCCACCTCCGAACTCAAAAGCGGCTGACAGCCCTGAGCACAGCCCAGCAGCCGTCGGGAGGTTGAGGGGTGCAAACCATCTCCCCTGGCTGGAGCCTAACATCAACAGGAGCCAGCCCTGGCAGCCCCCAGCCAGCCCAGCAGCAGACAGGGAGGGGGAGCAGCCACGGGACAGGGAGAGAAGTCTCACCCTCTCTCCCCTCTCCTCTTTCCTGAAAGTACTGGCAAGCGCCCAGCCAGCAGCAAGCCAGACCGCAGCGGAGCTCGGCCGACCGCACCAGCCCGTACTTGTCACAGGCCACGTAGCCCAGGGAAGCGGCCACGTCCCAAGCCCCATGTTTCCACCCCAGAACTGCCCTGCAGCTGGTGGGGGTAGGTGCCACTCACATGATGTACTCCTCCTTGTTCTCCTCCGTCACCCGGATGCTCTCGCCACCCTCCTTCAGCTCGTGGGTGGTCACCTTGCCCAGGATCTCCATGTCCTGGATGAAGTACAGCTCCAGGCCGCACTCCTCCAGGCTGTTCTCCCTGCGGGAGGACAGTGGGATGTGATTTCTGACGGAGGCCCCCGGCAGCAGCGAGTGGCGGTGGGGAGGAGCGCTGCCACCCCCCCAGCAGGATGGGTCCATGTCGGGGGGAACACGGGGCACTCACTTGGTCCAGACAATGGAGTTGTAGAACTCAGGGTCGATGGATTCCAGGTCCTTCAGCGTGGGCCGCTTGTTCAGCATCCGCTTGTAGAAGGGCAGCGTGAAGCCGGTATCAATGAACTTCCCATGATACAGAGCCTGCAGCAGGGAGGTGACACCAGGTGACGGGAGACCCCAGGATGGACCCGCGGGACGAGACGGACGGGACGAGACGGTGCTCCATCATGGGGCAAAGGGGAATTGCTCCTGGGGTCCCAGAGCTGCGGCACTCACTCCTGGCTGGCAAACACAGTGGGGAGGAGCGGGCTCCCCCCAGCAGCGCTGCCCAGGGGTGGCTCACCCGGTGTGGGTGTGCTCAGAGCCCCTCTCCCCTCCCCACCACAAATTCCACCGTGTCTACTTCTCCCCTCACAGCTCTATTAAGAGCACTTGTTTAAACAGAGCTGCGCTGTGGCTTCCCTGAATCCCTGGCTTCCAGGAGCCCCAAGGCAGAGGCAGCCAAAAATAATGCAGACGCTTGTCTAGAACGGCCCAGCGGTGAGTAATAGTCTGGGGTTTTATTGGTATCCTGCAACGCGCGGGGCAGGGCAGGACAGAGTGGGGACCTGAGCAGCATGCAGCCCCCCTCCCACACGCACACCTCGCAGGGCCACCAGCCAGGGACCTCTCCCCAGGCTCC